GGGTGTGACCTCTCCTGCTGCCCCCCCAGATCCGTGGCAAAGGCCTCGACTGGCCCCTGATCGTGAAGGACTTCAACCTGCTGCGCTGGCTGGGGGCAAACTCTTTCCGCACCAGCCACTACCCCTACGCCGAGGAGATCATGGACCTGTGCGACGCCTACGGCATCGTCGTGATCGACGAGTGCCCGGGAGTGGGGATTAAAATGCCGTAAGCCATTGCTTGAAAGACCCTTCCCCTTGTTTCCGTGTCCCCGTCGCACAGCGCCCGCTGTCCTGGTAATGCAAGTACTTTGCTCTACTTACAAATCAGCCGGTTGCGCCACGTGTGCCTAGTGAGGTTGGGCAACCGAGGGGTGTTCTTGCCACACGGCCATCACGTCACTTGGTCATCTGGTCTGGCTCCACTGCTGAGCCCAACCCACGGCCCTGAACTGTGCAGCAGGCTTTGGGGATACAGGGCAGAAGCCATGTTCAGTGTCAAGGCTCAGCTGTGCTTATCCACCCCAGAGGCTTGAGTTTCCACAGGGAAGGGCAAAGGGGATGGATTTTATACCCTTACCTCACTGGGTCTCATTTCCTTTTGTCTTCAAGCGAGAGCTTTGGGAACAAGTCCTTGCAGCATCACCTTGTTGTGATGGAGGAGCTGATCCGCAGGGATAAGAACAGGCCATCAGTCGTGATGTGGTCGGTAGCCAACGAGCCGGCATCAGAGCTGGCCCCAGCAGCTTACTACTTTAAGTAAGTGCATCTGCTTGTACAGAGAGCTGAATTTTGACAGATGATGCATCATCTTCCTTTGGGATGGCACAAAGTAGTAGTAAAGAGAGGGCAAGCATGTTTTGGGAACCCTGAAACAGTACCCGCTGATGCAGATATGTGCATTGCTGTTATGCTCTGCACTGCATAACAGACTCAGTCTGTTATTTCCCAGCCAGCAAGGCTCTGCAAAATTACCAGCAGTCCCTTTGGTATGAACATCTCCTCTTGACCTAAGGATCATGTAAAAGCAGACCTGATGGGAACAGGATATTCCTTGTTACCAATGGAAGATGAGCGCTAAAGTATTTGAGAATTATGGCAAAGCTGTTAAAAAAATTGGCCTTTTAATTCTGAAGACAAGGTTCTTCAGTTAGTGCCAGTTATTTGGTCTGCAGCAGATCATGACGCCCCACTTCAAAGTCAATGCCTAAAGTCCCTACAGACCTCTTAGTTTTATTTTTAAAGAGATTTAAGCTTTGGATAGCCAAGAGTCATCACTGTAGTGGGCTAGCGGACTGTCCCTAGTAGCTGTAGGATCTTTAAGAGATAATTGTGAAGTTTCATTCTTCATAATGGTCCACCACCCTCCTGCAACACTGAGGTAGCAGCAAAGCTTGATGCTCCCCTTCTCTGTCTCATCTCCCTCCTTAAAGGTTTCCTCAAAAGCAGCCAACCTTTCCCCTGCCTGCTGTGGCATACGGCTAGGTCCTCCTGCTTTTGCAGGAACGCATCCCAAGCGTTTTTCAGGAACTTCCCATTACCCTTACATTTTTGTCTTCAGACTCCCTTTTTCAGCTTCTAAGCTGCTGGCACCACCAGACAAATAAACATGCCCACATTTGGGGTACTTCCACTCTGGTCTTTTTCAAGGTGGGCAGCAACCAGCTTTGTGACAGTCTCTTTGCCATGTATTTACACTCCTACAGGACTGGCTAGAATGGCAGGCACTTTATAGCAGATAATCACTACGTATCCTGCAGTATTTAATTAAAAATACTCTGCCTGCTAAATCAAAACCAGCTCCAAATGTCGGGGGGGGGGGGGGGGGGGGGCGGGGGGGGGGGGGGGGGTGTGGACAGAGAGGTTGGGGAAAATAGGGCTGTGCTTCTCCATGCTCTTGTTAAACTCTTGCTTTACTGTTTGCAAACAGGACAGTCATATCTCACACTAAAGCTCTCGATCCCTCCAGACCAGTAACCTTTGTGACAGATGCTAATTATGCACTTGATCATGGTGTAAGTTTACATTATTTTCTAGCTTCACCCCCCTCAATTCATACACTGTTTCCTCTTCTTGTCATCTGTTTTACGGTCCTTTCCTCCCCCACCTCCCCAAGTTTACTGGAGATATTTAACAGGGAGAGGCAGAAAACTTACAGTTTTGGTTTTAGCACAAAAGCACCTTATCTGGTAGTTGTAATCCAGCTGAAACAAAAATATCTGTAAGAGAGAAGAACAGTTCTTTGTCTTGAGTGAAGCATGCAGGATCAGAGCCCTGGATGCCATTAACATCGTCATATTGATCATGTTCTCTAATGCTGAGGATTTTCACTTGCAATTAAACCAAAGCTTAAACCTCTTTAAAATGCTAACAGCCCTTGTGGAAGTCTAAAGGAAGGAAGCTTTGCTTTAATTCCTGCTTTAAACTGCTCTAGATATTCTTTGGCAGATGCCTGTTAACATTGAATAATCTAAAAGCTCTTCCAGCTCTGTAATTAAAAGTCCTAGAGCTGTTTAAATAGCCAAAAGGCATTTTTCATGGATGTCTGTGCCTTAAGCTGGCCATAGCATGAACCAAGGATCTTCAACACACATAAATTTGGTTTTGGGGTACTTCCTATGTAATTTTTAATTTTTTCAAGACGGCTTCATAACGCTTGTCACTGTTGTACAAGAAACATTTTGAGCAGGTGACTTGGCAGGGACACGGTACTACCACATATCCCTGCTACAGGTTACATTTTGTCTTCCTTTCAAGCTGTCCCACAATTAGCAGGAACTGCCTTCTGTAACGGAGAGGTCTGTTCCTCCCCACCCCAGGAAAATAAAAGGGGTGGCTGCAGCTTTGCAGGTGCCCAGCAGGGATCTGCCCTTGGGTATCACTGTTTCATCAGGCATGCACACACGGCCTCTGACATCCCATCTCCACGAGCATGTTCTGCCTGCCTTGAGGAGACACACGAAAACGAAGCCAAAGAATAGATCTCATACACTGATGTGATATTAGAACTTTTTTTTCTTTTTATTACAAAACATGTTAAGAGAACATTGAACAAGTTACATACAACATCACTTTATCTTTAGTGGGCTTTGTGCCCTTTTATCATACTGTCCATGTGGTAGAAATGGCATATGACTTGCAGAATGCTTAGTCTTAGTATTGCACCACTGATGCACAAATTTAGTTGCCAGTCAAAATATTTGACCACTAACTTGATAATCACATTCCAATACTCAAAAAGTACATCTAAATGTACCAGCAAGCCAGAGACATCTTGGAAACTCAAAAACTTCTAACAAACCTGAGGATGAAATGGGCTGATCTTGTCTAACTCTGCTGTGACTTCCTATGTCTGTAAAAAAAATACCAAGTTAAGACGCCATTAGCTTATTAAATTTATCCTGCCTTCTGCGAAAGATGTCATGGTGGAAATGCCTGAGTGATGGGGGAAACAACTTTGTACTACCTGTAATAAAACTGGATTCCATTAAATTAATCAAAAGCAGGTTTTAGCTTTACAAGTGAAAAGTTGTCTACTTTGAGCTCTATAACAAAACACTCTCACCTTGTTTTCTGCAGGCTCCTTACGTGGATGTAATTTGTGTAAATAGCTACTTCTCCTGGTACCATGACCCAGGCCATCTGGAAGTTATTCCACTACAACTCACATCACAGTTTGAGAACTGGTACAAAACCTACCAAAAACCCATCATCCAGAGTGAATACGGAGCGGACTCAGTTCCTGGACTTCACAGTGTAAGTGATACAGATGCCCTAGATGGGGAAAAAAGCACTGCTCCTCTTACAGGGTCAGCAAAATTTAATGAGAAGAGATGGGGACCAGTGAGCTTCATTTTGAGATGCATAAGCTTCTAAGTGTCCAAAAGACTCTGGAATTGTAACCTTGCTACGCTGAAATCAACGAGCTTTGCCACGGACTAACAAAGGTCCGATTCTACTGAAAGAGAAGTGTTTTGCTTTTAATCAAAGCTCTGAGCACTCTGAAACGTGCATTTTGGCATTTGTAGAAGATGCTTAGTTGGAAGATATGACACTGGAGAGCAGATGTTCATGTCGTGACACCGTCCTGCACAGAAGGGGGTGTCACTCCTCGGCCTGTCACAACAAAGCACCACTACCAAGCAACCCCCTAGTTTCCCCCCAGGTACACCGGGCATGATGTCTGTATTTTATGTGCGCTTCCCGTTCCCGTTTCAGTAGTTGTTAATTCTCACTAAATGGCCACGGTTAATGCAGTGGCAGTGAAAAGACCAAGCAATTGTAAAGCTTGTCTGCAGGAAGCAGGTGCCCAGTAAGCAGGAAATTAGCACATGGAGCCTTTGCTGAGATCCACTGTCACCTTCCCTCAAGGCCACTTCTTTTTCCTGCTTGTAGGATCCACCTCTTATGTTCAGCGAGGAATATCAGAAAGCCATGCTAAGAGAGTACCATTCTGTTTTTGACAAAAAGAGGAAAGAGTATGTGATCGGGGAGCTCATATGGAATTTTGCTGATTTCATGACTAATCAAGGTAAGCTCATTTTTATTCTGAACAACTCGCCACCCTTCCTGCAAGTTTAAAATGGAATACACCGCACAAAGAATGCTGTGCTGTAGGGTGGGACAGCAGGGCCCTCTGCTTACCAAAACAGAGCATAGCTGGCTTCTGTGACAAAGTCCAGCACGACCAGAGCCAAGAGGGCAGGTCCTGCCTGTACTTAAACATCCTCTCTCTCCAGCTTGAGCTCCTAGTTGTCCCGGCTGCACACGTGCTACCCGGAACGTGAGACAGCGCACTAGGGCAGAACGCAAGGGAAGCTTGTGAGCAGAGCCGGATTAGTTCTATTTCTTGGCCATCCTCAATTCAGAGCTTCAGTCAGCTGTTAGGGATGCATCTCACTCCCTTTGTGGTTCATCTACAACTGCCCTTAGTAAGAGAGCACCGTAAATAATGCATTATTGGCAGAGATTTAGCAATAGAGGACCAGATGCCACATTGGCAGACAACTGTCCATCACGACACTCTCTCCACTATCAATAAGTGCATTTGCAAAGTACGGGGCATTGCTTAATCTGCAGTGCAGACAGTCACACAGCGATGAAACACTTATGACTCAGAAAGAGACCCAGTAAGGAACCAGTTATGCATATGCCACCTGCAGTGAATTAGGGTGGTGAACAGTCAGTGTTAATTTCAGGCTGAGAAACACCATTGAGAATAATCTGTAGAGCACCAATATAGATATTAAAAAGCTAAGTCATCCTAGAGAAGCAGTCAGCAAAGAACTATCAGTTTCAAATAGGAGGATGGAGAACATGTAGACAAGTTCACATACACATATCCAGTTCCAGTCTCTCTACATGTTGTGATCATCTTCCCTAGTTTCCCATGAAAATTAAAATAGACAAAAAGGACACAGACACCACTAAAGGACAGTACAGTCAAACAGTTAGTAATCAACATTTTCACTATCAAATTTTAAGGTGGAACTAATGGCAGAAGGAATATCTGCTGTCAGTATAACACTGATCAAGTTAATGGGCACACCAGAATTAACTGTCATCGACCTACCAGTCATAAATACAACAAACTGCAGTTACGTCAATAAATCTTGCCAAGGTGATACAAATTTACATCTGCCAAGTTCCCCGTTGTACCTGACTACGTGTAGAAGAAAGTGCATAGGTCTCTTCCACCTAACCTGATTTAGTACGTACGTCGTAACGTAGGGGATATAAGAGCATTTTTATATATACTTGCTTTATTTTATAACTTTTCTTACAGGGACAACACGAGTTTTGGGGAACAAGAAAGGAATATTTACTCGTCAGCGACAGCCCAAATCAGCTGCATTTGTTCTTAGAGAAAGATACTGGAAGATTGCAAATGAATCAAGCTGTCTTCCTCCTATAATAAAGTCACATACCCTCTTTCTAAAATGAAATCAAAAGGTATAGTGGCTGGGTACTACGCTGAACTTGTTCATTAAAATTTCTGTTTAAATAATATTTATGCCTAACTCAAGTCTTGCAAGTCTAATGCAATTTCTTGTCCACCTGAAGTAGTTACTGTAATACAAAGCAGATCAGAAACACCCGTTTCCTATGCTTAGCCATGTCTGTAGGCTCCCTGTTTCCAGGTAGTACAACAAATATTCAGGGTTTCAGGGAGCTTAAGTTAAAGATCCTGACTGAGGTATCTGTTTATGGCAAAAAATAAGAATATCACATGATAAAAATCAATGCTGAAGACTAAAGAAATCCACGTTACTCTAAATGAACATTACATCTCTCCAACGCAAATGAGTTTTTTTCCAGTTATACTCCCCTAACAGTTACACTACTCAGATCACAGCAAATTGTCCAGGGGATTACTGACAAGCACAATTTATATAGCTTCTCTCACTGACCTGAATGTGTGGCTGGCTGAGAAATTCTGAGAGTTCACAGCGTTGAGGAAGCGCATGAACCACCGCTTCTGCGAGGCTACCTGACATACTCCAACACAGGATGGAATTCATACTACAGCAGCGAGGTGGAATATGTTAGATAGGTATTACATCACCTGAACTTTGTTTGAAACTATTTATTTTACTCACAGTACCAAAACTGCCGCTATTAGATGCGGTTTTACCTTCCAGCACGGAAGGGCTTCCTTCATATTAAATTGTCAGTATGCACTACAGTAACAGTAGTCTAGAGACTAGATTTGTTCTAAGTCTTTTTGATACTGCCCTGAAGCATTCTGGAGTCGGGCGATACGTAAATTAGTGTGCACACGCTACTTTAGACAGTAACACAGCGTAGTAATGTCCCTTTCGGGCCGCACATCAGTCTCAGAGGGCTCTGAGGGCCAGGCTTTCCATGGCAATAGATTATGCCAATACTCACAGAAGACCTCGGAACACTGAGTTTGCAAACTTACTGCGAGATCCCAGGGCCGTTCCAAGAACAGCGTCACCTGTAGCAGAACTGCAGAATTGGAGGCTGCCTCCTGAATTTTGGAAGTTGTCACAATTACCTAGTTTCCTAATTCTGATTCACTCAGTGTGAAAGTGTCGCTGCGACTACGTGTTCTGCAGCTGGCTCTTCTGCTCGTATCTCAAGGAAGTGACTAAAACATTTGTTGATAAAAAGGAAATACTTGCTTTTACTGTTGTGGGGTGGCCAAATTCTCTTTCGTTTAGACGCGGCACTTTGGAAACCAGCGCCACCTGCCACATGCAGAATAAGGACATAGATGTCTGCTTCAGACTTCAAAACCATTTTTCTTGAGGTTTTAAGGGAAAAGAAGAAACATACTATCAATATTCCTTATACTGTGTTAAGGCTACAGATTTTCTATATAACCCCAGAATATAAAGTCTATCCACAGTGAAATGACACTTTCTCAGATGCACCACTACCAGTGTTTGACAGTCATTTCGACTTCTGTCTCTAGACATGACTTCTTTTTTAAAAACAATTTTCTTCCCCATTTCAAGACACAACATGCCAACAGCTGCCACACCAAAATGCAGATAAAGATTTGACATCGCTAGCTCACTACCAACTAGGGCTCCGATCCCTAAGATTAACACACAGGGCTTGCGGTTGCAGAAGAGAAAGCTATTACAGTCATTCAGTCCAGCAAAACAGATGCAAAGTTTAATATCCACAAGTATGCGAAACACACATTTTGGAGTCTTGGCTCCTGCGCGTTCTCAAGAGCTCAGTGCACCGGCAGAGCCCAGCCGCCCGTCCAACCTTCCCAGTAGCTCCTTCCCTCCCCCCCAAACCCAGGAAAGCGTACAGCAGCTCCCGATATTTTGTGATCTTCTCCGAGCAGAGTTAAAGCAAACTTACAGAACCAAGGAAAGCAGGAAGCGACAGGAATAACGTACTTCACAGGGCTGGTTTTGCACGTTGCTTAAAGAACTGTAAACAGTTAAAGCCCCAAGTGAGCGCTGCTCAACCTTTACACATCCGTGTGCACACAACGTTCAGCAAGACACGATGAAGCTGCAGGAATTCTATAAATGGTATCACTGGTGACTCAAGTGCTTTAACCCTTCTACTGCTAACACACGTCTTTGAAAAAAAAAAATAAAATCACAACTTAATACATTTCTAGAAACAGAATTACAGTACTGACTTTAAAAACAGTTTCTAAGGCTCAGACTGAGTCCAAAAAGGCCTCTGATTGGGTTCATTCAAGCTCTTATGTTTGGACTGCATGAATGCAGCATAAGAATGATTGCAGCAAGACGTCCACAGGTAATTTCTACATTTATTTTTTATACCAAAAAGTTATGTGCAACAAATAAGAGTTCATACATATTTACATTGTTTTACCTGTTAGCAAAATTGTATCCTAAACCTCCAGTAGAGAATCTCTCAACCTATATTGATAAAAGGAACATCTGCCCAATGCCTCCATTTAAATGAATGTTTAATTTGGAATTTAAAGCACTAGTAATAAATAGTTGATGGAACGTACTATACAGAACAAACACCTAATATTTAGGCCATGCTTAATACAGTTTTATGGTAACAGAATACTTCCATCTTTTCTGGACCAGTTTTGTCTAGATCTTGTTTAACCAACACTGGCAGAGCCAAAGCCATCCGATCTCTCTTTGACTTCAGCCCGTGTAACCCGGGAGCACTGAGCGCTGCCTGGAGCCAATCTTTCGGAACGACCAAGAGACTCTGTGCAGCAGAAGACAAATGTGTACTACAGGACGCAGAAATCTCCCACAAAGAGGGTTTAGTTGTCACTTCAGATATCAAAGGCGGAGGGAATGTTTCATTGGCCTCAGCGTTGCAAACAGTTCACGGTAAGAAAATTCCAAGAACATTCGTTTCCTAAACGAGACTTGAATGCTTCGTTGGCCTTAAGAGTAGCAAAGTACCTTACAGTAAGAGGATTTCAGGAATGTGCAATTCCTAAGCAGGTTTTGGGATGAGGTTCTTTCACCTTTCCAATCCGCCCTTCTCTGCGGGACTTCTGAGAGCCAGGGAGGTGGGTGGAAGCCCAAATTCAGAACTACTGTTTGGATATTATGATTTTTCTTTTTCCCTCTCCGATCTCATGAGTGTTGAAACCACAACCAGAATCTGTGTAATGCCCTCCTGTCCTTTGCCAGACCAGGTGTGATTTATTATCCTCAAGATTTCTCAGAACTGGCCTGTGGATTTGTAAGAGTCAAATTAACATCAATCACACATCTGCCAGGACATTTGTTTTGGCCAAGGGCGGGCGGGGGCAGGTGCATGAAGTACCTGTCCGTTTCCATCACGTTACCAATCGTAATCTGAGCCATTTTACTGGAAGAAATACGCTGTTTATGTCATTGGGAGCAACGAGGAGAGTCAAAGAACTGGAAGCAAAAAGGTCCAAATTTCTACGGCTAATATTATTTTGCCCTTTATTCAGGCCAACTGCATTTCTGAAGCACAAGAAAGTAAGAAAGTTAGGGCCATTTCTAGCAAATCACTTCCAGTAGAAAGTAACTGCAAGAAAAGCACACAAGACAAGAGACAGTTCACAATTAAGGATCAGATTTGCAAGCACAAAGTGTAGCTGCAAATTCTGCCGGAGACCAAACTGAATTTCCATTTGATCCCTACGCGCACACAAACAAGGACCGCAGACACGACTGCTGAAAATCTGGCCCTAAACAATTTTACTAAATGAACTGAATCAACAGACTATGCCCACACAGACAAGCACAAGACACAGTGAAGTTAGTCAACACCTCTACTTTCAGCTGATGGGGCTTTTCTCCTTCTTTTTTTCGGTGCACTATACCCAGAAATTGGACAAAGCAATCATTGGTTACACTTGTCTCCATTGCCGCTTGTGCCGAGATATCAGCTCCGCGACTAACCCCTGCAGGCAGCGCGTGTTCACCTCTCCCTCGTGTGGAAAAGATGCCTTAGTGTAGATCACAGGAATGCATCAAAATAAATCTCTACAACATACACAACAGCGATATTGCCTCAAGGCCTGCAAGAGAACAAAGCCAGCAAAGCCTTGAGGGACCACTTGAACATCATTCACTCCCCTCGTATCCAAGTTCAAGGCATTTGAGAGACAGAACTAAACATCAAGACAAGCTTTAACTGTACTCTGGTCAATACAAAATGCATTTAATGAACTGCTGTCTAAAACTGTTAGACAAGAGGGACAATTTAGTGTTACATGCAACAGGTGTTACTCATACCACAGAACTCTATACATAAAAGCAGTTTCCACCTACATCCTTGATACAAACCAGAAAATTACCTCAGTAGTCATTTAAAAACTATTTTGTGAATTCAGTCTAAAAATTCTATTTTCTCTACGGAACACTGCATGTTTCACAGTCAAGTTTATCCTCAGCAACTTAGTGTTTATAACCCACTTAAGCCATACAACGTAAGTGTGTCTCTGACATTCATGTTTAAGAAAAAAATAATCCTAAAATTAAACTAATTCTTTAAGTAAATGGGTACGCAGTTGGAATTTTTCCTATTTAGAAGCTGACAAGGGCAAAAAAGCAGCACAGCACCAATTACAGGAAGTAGCTGAATCTACACATTTTGGTGTCACGGAGTCTGAAACACAGGTATTTAACTTTTCCCAGTCACATCATCAACATTCCATCGCATTGACTTAACCAAAACAATATTGCTACCACTTCTCAGTCTAAAAACTAAAGTAGATCTCTTAATACTCTTCTATCCCCAGCAACTTTGCTAGGAATTTTGTTTGTTTGTTCATTTTTAAAGCAAGGACACTTCTGCCTGCCAAGTTCAACACAACGTATTTGGTTTAAGATCTTAAGACAGAAGGCACTTCTAACATTCAGCCTTTGAATACTGAGTGCAGAAACAACGTTTACAATTTTGTTCAAATCTGCAGTTTAATTTTTTTTTTTAATTAGTTATTAGAAAGAGCAATGATAGCACTATATCACATTTCATTTTCAAGAGCTCATTTACTTACTTATCCCACAAAACAGGCTGCCCTTCCAAGGGATCTTCTGTGTGTCAGGCCTAAAGTTCATTTCCCAATATAGCACAAACGAAAGATCCCGACAAAGATCAATCAAGTAACTGCTCTGCAGTGCGCTACTCGCTTATCCCGCTCGGTCAGTGGTTTCCACTGCACATTGCAACTCTATACTGCAGCATTCATATGACATCAAACATCAGTAACACTGGCTGGCTGACCACAGTTTAGAAATGAAACAGCTCTGCATGGAAATTAAATCCTTTCAAAGAACACTCTTTGATACATCAACCCCCGATCTGCATATAATATCCCAGTGGCAGATTTCTATTGACCACGTGAAGCTATTCTCATTCTGTACAGAAATTAATGAAGTTGTGGTTTAATGAACATACTTCAGGTTTCAGCTTTAATTCCATTTTCATTACTGGAGACGAAAAAAAAATTTAAAAAAAAAATGGAACAAACCCCAACCATCGTTCTTGTGAAAGCACTAGCAGTGAGTGCAGCAACTCGGTGTTCTCTGTAGAGGTCACTTCCTCCCTCACGAACACTCTGACAGCTCCTAGGCTAACAAAACCGATTGTACAGTGAGTTCTCTGGGGATGAAACCAACATTTCTAATTTTATTTACAGTATAAGTCCTAGCCAAATCTAAGTCCATCAGCTAAAAAAAAAAAAAAGTAATACACATACTGTAAACATGGCAACATTAAATATGGTAATGCTAGTCTAGAATATTTAATGTCATGGTCACATCTTGTTATACCTGAATTTATATACAGGATATTTTATAGCAAGTGTTACCCACTTCACAAGTGGCGGGGGAAGAGAAAGTCTAGGTTTTGCTGTGGCTAAAACTCCTTCAAAGTAAAGTTAAAGCTTGTCTTTGATTGTATTAGAGCTTTCTTTCATAACCACATTTAAGTTGAAGATTACCACAAAAAATTTTCTGGGGCCCCTTCAAATTTGTAATTAAAAATTCAGTTACGATTCTCGGGGAAAAGTGTCTGATATGGAGAATAAAAAATTACTGCAAAATAAACTTAATGGAACTTGGTTCTTCAGACTGTCAGTCAAAAGTTCAAACAGGCGTTATTCCTGTTTGGGTTGGAGTTGCCGTTTCCAGGCCTCGTTCAAATAAACTAGTCGTTTGTAGTTGATGATAAAGAGAATGAAGTTCAGCAAGTATGTGATGACGCAGACAATGCAAAATTCCTTCAGCACGAAGTACAGAATGTACGCCAAGTACAACGACCCTACTACAGACACTATGGAGGATGTCATGAGGATTAGAGCTGCTACTGCACTTGCTGTCATACCTGCAACAAGAGAGAGAAAGTTACTACCCCTGCTCTCATTGCCCCCTTCCACACAAAGCACAAAACCTGAGCACTCTAATTCCAGCTGAAGGCTTCCCAGCGAACTGTGTTACCTCAAAGTCTGTTTCAAATACCCTGGGTTCAAGATGGCTGACAAATGGCTATTTGGAGGGCAGCTGCTAGGTGCTGTACGACAGTGCTCTGATAAGCAGCCTGTGCAGTATTTACCATCTTCCGTATTCCTGAGCCATGGCAAAGTTACAGGCTGGTCAAGTTACGTCTATCACGATTAACAGCTTTATAGAAGACCACGCAGTCACAAAGACACAGGCATACACTACACTTCGTGCACTTCTTGCCTGCCAGCGCTAATACTTCTGCAAAACTTGTAAACCCATTTTTATTTCCTCTCTCCTGTTGTGCAATCCAACGCTAAAAATATTTAAGTGAAAATACCAGTGCAGCAAGTGTCTTGACGCTTCTATTATTAATAGCGTAGCAGGAGAAAATGCAATTGCCCTTGTTATCAGCTGGGTTTTTAAGCCCTCTGGACACACGTGTCACTAGACTGGTTAAAAAAAAAAAAAAAAAGATAAAAATCACATGCATTTATCTGGTCTCTTGCAATTGTGCAATGTATAACGTACTCCTCTTTCATCACCACAAACCCATTATACCTCAGGCTCTAAACCCAATTAATACTTACCAAGTAGCATTTGTAGTATATAAAAGATGAGTCCAAAAACACTGTTTGACTGATTTATTGCACTGTCCTTTCCAAAGATGGAACCCAACAGACCGAATCCTCGACCCCATCTGTAAAAGAGTGAAACTAATTAACTTGCAGTTGGGCAACTATTGCTTTACACCAGTACTTGCAATTCATCATCGTTGGGGGGTGGGGGGTAAAGGTACACATATTCTGGCACAACCACTGCAGCTTTACATGAAATTCAGGGTCACCTTGGCTACAGGGGTGGGTGCACTAGGTACAACTTCATCCCACGCACCGCTGGTCTAAGTTACTCGACACACCGGGAACTACCAAATTCACACAACTGCAACTTCACCAGTTGCCATGTCTGCTTCCTGGGGTGGTAGGTTAAAGCTCTTTTGTCAAATAAACACGTCCTTGCTCCAAAGCGAGCTCTAGCCATTCCCTCCAGCACGGTAAACCTCTCGCCACAGGGCTCAGGGAAAACGGTACCACTTGGTGACGAGTTGTCAGCAGCTCTGGCAGCACTCACCTCGCTGGCATCGCAGCAAGCACATCAGAACAGACATCAGTGCTTCGGCTCCTCCTGATCAGTCTAACACCTCTGGAGGAACCCAAATCTGTCAGGCAGACACGGTACCAGACCGCATTTGTTGGAGCCCTCGCACAGCATGACATTTGAAACATTAACCACAAAGTGACTTTCAACTTTTTAGCGATAAAGTGGCACGAGCCCTACAAAGCTGCTGCTGCAATAAAGGGGGTAAGAGATTAAATTAGCGAATATATTTGTGCTAGAAACCATTCACTGCTGCCCTAAGGCAGTTCACACCATTATTTGTAAAAGCAAAGTGAGGACCATATTCATTAGCATCACTTGAAAACACGAAGGGAAGTTAACGCTACTTCAACACGCAATGTAATTCACTTCTAAGAGAACGTCAGGCTCTCTGCCATCGTGCCTTTGGAGCCTCAAGTCAAGCACTACACAAATGTAAGGCCAGATTTTTCATCATCAGGTTACCCATCATATAAATACATTACGAAAAGCACAATTCCTCACTGCTGTTGTAGCACACTACTGTTTCCTGCTGCATTTATGCCAACAGAAGGGCAGTTTCCAAATACTTTGTTGTACTCCAGGCAACGGTTCTACTTAACCAAGCCACAGCACAGGTTGGCTCTCTGCACCCTACAGGGATGCTGCCGATATACTTCACCACACATCCCAGACCGGTGAAAGGCCACCCCCCCACCTTACAAGCAGCTTCCTCACCTGAGAAAGGTACCACAGTAAGTACGATTTCACATCATCTCCAAAATACTTCAGTATCTCACAGTCACCTGTGCAGTGTTTTCAGAACATATGCAAACTGATCATTTTAATTCAAAATCAGAAACTGTCTGCAATCAACCATTATACACTTCATGCTCTTCTCCAAGAAACTGAGGAGAGAATGAGGTACCAATTCCTAGCAGGCATGTTTACTGCATAAACAACAGCCCCCCACCCCCCCAATATACTTTCAACTATTCTGGTCTCAACTTTTGTAAATTACTGAAAGGAAACTTATGCACAAATATAAAGCTTCAAGCCAGCACAGTGAAGACCAACATTTACTCTACCCCAGGAGCAACGCCTCAAGGCCCAGAGCTAGGAACGGTCCGAAAGACCCAAAGCGAATTACCGGGAGGAGCAGCGCCACGCTGCCTCGCTCCCTGCCGCCAGCGCGAGTTGGGGGCTTTACAGACTGTGGGGGACAAGGCTGGCGACACCCCCGGCGGTATGGGAAGGGAACCCCTCCCCGGGTTAGCGTGTGGTGCAGTCTGTGGGTGAAGGAGCATCAAAGAGGGACACCAAAGACTGGGAAAAGCAGTTGCAGAGATGCAAACGAAGCACTTCAGAGTTACAGCAGCCATGTTTCCAAGAGGGGGGGATTTCAAAAGAGACCAAACGTCATGTGACAACACATAAGGAAACACTATAAAGAAATACTGCAAATTCCACAGAATCTCAGCTATGATCAAGCTTTCCTCCCACACACTGAATGTTATCTGGATTTTAAGAAAGAACTGTTTGGTTTTCAGCCTTACTTTGGTAAGATGGTCACAGTACGTGTAACAATTGTCTCACGTTGCCCAGCTACCAAACGCAGTAGTAGAGTCAGACAAACCTATTAAAGGTATCATCATTTTGTATTTAACAGTACCTCTTTATTTTTCTGTATTGCCGCATCTCTAGATGCCTCAGCTCACGATCCACAGGTGCAATTTACTGTCTAGTCTCCAAGAAAATATCCTTTGTAGGGCGACACTAAACTCTATTCGCACACACTCAGGCTTTCCTTACCAAGAGGCTCAACAGCGTAACTCACACCCTGCCTGAGCTGGGCTTCAGCATTAGTCCAGCCCAAAGGAACTGCAGGATGCTGAATTCCTGCCCTCTCCCTGCCCTGGCTGTACGCTCTCACTTCCGATGCTCCTGAGCTCCTGTCGTGTTTGAGAGTGAACTCAAGCTTGAAACAGTAGAAACTTTACAGACTACAAGATCTGAATCTATAGTTATTCTGCAAGTAAATAAAATCTTGCTAATGGGAGGGTAACAGGCTGAAGCCCTTCCTGACAGTCAGCCCCCAAGTGACCTGTTCATAACTGCAAGGTCAGAGCACGGTGAAAGCTTTTTCCACTTGCAATAGTGCATAAAGTACCTTGTCGGCCTAGTAGCTGCTTTAAGGACGTCAAGTATAAAATTTCAGTCCATGGAGTTCAGCTCTAGTCTCCCACCTTACTGCACATGCTTCAAGACAGCCAGGAAGCCCGTGGTTTAAAATAAAGCACTTTTCCAGCCTTACAGGGTTTGAAGTGTGAGGAAGTCTCTGCATCAAACCGAAAAGCACAATATTTAGACTTTGTATATTTCTGTTTCCACTAATTTCTCCACTGAAGAGGCTAAATTCTATCAAAGAGGTCCCAAAACCCACTAAAATGAACCAAGTACTGGACTGGAGGAAGACTGAATAATTGTTTCCACCTAATTTCTCCACTGAAGAGGCTAAATCATCTCCTAATTCTATCAAAGAGGTCCCAAAACCCACTAAAATGAACCAAGTACTGGACTGGAGGAAGACTGAATAATCTTCCTTCTCACACCAAACCCACACTGATCACACCTGAGTTACGATAACTTTGAAAGTCTAAAAGCATTCGGCAAACAAATGGCAAGAAGAAACGCTGGAGTCCTAACAAAAGAATAAATACCAATAAAAACATCATCAGTAAAAAGGGCTATAAACTGCTCAGAAGGTCTTCACAGAACTTTCCTTTCTTATAAAGAATATAATTTATAGAACTATTGTTAAATCAACTTTTTCCTGGTACCGACTTGTGTTCCCAGCCCCGAAGCAGTCAGGTGTCCTGTGGTGACAATCACGCTGAACTCACCCTGCGTGATTCAGGCACTACCACAAACACACGGGGCAAGTCTACTTTTGCCACACCCGAGTTTCACTCCTATAAAAAAAAAAAAAAAAAAAAGCAACCTGAACTAACTTCAAGGACATTTTAAAATAAATCTTTAAGACGTCTTCCCGTATGTTTGAAGTAACTCCAATCCCCTCTCTCCTCAAGATGACAGCCTGTTTCACTTCTCATTTGCAGGCACCACTTGGAACACTGTTTGAAAATTGACTTCTGCAGTGACCTACAGTCCAGTGTGCATTTCCTTTTAGCAAGAGGAGATCTTGAAAATTATTATCCACCCTCTAGACAGTGTCCCTCTTGGTTCGTGATATTTATCAAAGCCCAGAAGTGTCACATTTTCAGAAGTTTAAGCACTACTTGCACGCACTGGACGCTTCCCAACAGGAAGACAAGATGAATTGAGGCAATTCTGATCCACATATATCCAACAGAATCCTACCTTGTGAATCACTACCTCTTTCGTGCAACTATGAACATCGATGTTTCCAAACAGCGTATTATGGGAGCGTGCCTTAACTCTAAACATTTTACCATAGTTTAGACAACACCGCTGGCAAAAAGGCAGCCGAGAAGCCCTCAGGCACTACACCAGTACCTCGGTCATTTGAAAGCACAATTTACCTTGCTAAAAGCTGTAAGTTATCAGCATTAGCTTAAAGGAGCAGGCTTCCACGACTGCCAAACACAGCAAGTCAAACAAACAAACAAAGAAATTATGTCCAATTATTACCTCACCTACTCTCTGTCCAGAAACGCTGTACTCTTTTTTTTTCTCGTCCAGGACCCCAATTCTGAGAGTTACCTGCAGGAGATGTTTTTAAGGGCTTTTCTAAAGAGATCATTCCCCTAGATGCAATCCATGATCTCAGTTATCATGAGGCTAAGCATCACCTTAAGAAACTTCTGCCGTTTCTCCTGCATCTCCAAGCTCTGCCCGAGGCCTGCCCGGAGGTGCCCTGATGCTTTCTGACCTCCACAACATCCTCCAGCGACCAGTGCCAGGATCACGTCGTCTCAATTTCACTTGGCAATCCCTAGTTCTCACGTGAAGCAAAGAAGAACTAACTACTGTATATTCATTTTAACACAAAAATAACCATTCTAGACCAGGTTAAGCCCAGCCAGCTTCAGTACCATGGCCCTGACATGAGGGAGTAGGAAATGCCTTGAACAAAGCACACACGCTGCCCAGTTGACACTCTAGTGCCCTAAACATCACATTAAAAATGGCACCAAATCTTGCAGGAGGGTTATCAGATGGCACGTGTGAGTCAAAAATCTGAGAACACTCGGCAGTCGTGCTGCAGCAGGTTTTGCAACACATTTCTCAATTTTTAGGTTCGCTGCAATGAAAAGGGCAAACGATAACAAAAACTATATCTTCAGAGGGCTGACAGTAAAGAATACAAGTTTTCTGAGTGTTAGTAGATTACTTAAAGCTCCTCATTTCAGGATTATTTTTCATCCCATGAGCATTGTTCTGTTATTGACAGCAAGCACCATTTACCACCCTAAGGAAACAATAAATATCATTTTCTAAAAAAAACATAATAAAAAAACCCCAAACAGCAAAACCTCACAACTTACACTTGACAAGTTGATAGGCACATTTCCGTAAGTGTCATCGGACTTCTGGAATACATTAGGGTACAGAATTAAAGTTCTCAGGAGGGGAAAAGGCTGGCAGAAGCTCACACGTTGCCGTCAGTGAAAAGCTCACATAAAGGTCAAAGGATCTAGAGCGTGTTAATACTTTGCAATGTTAAGAAACTTTAGCTGCAGCTTCTTTACAGCTTCACTCAAAGATTTTGGATTAAACCTAGTACATAGTTACAAGGTTGCTTAGGCTACTCTTAACAGTTTTAATTTATTAAGTAAAAGCCTTCAATAAGAAGCCATGAGAAAGGAGATTAAAAATTCCCATTTGTAAACTTGCCAAGAGTGCTCAAAAATTCTGATACACTTAATTTCATGTTTAAACCTATTAGCAGTATTTACCATGAACAAATGGGATTTTGTTCTATCTATCCTCCAGCTCCACTTCAGAAAGAGTCTGAAAAAAT